TTAAGGTAGGGCAGAGGCATGGATGGTTTCCGAGGACCAGCTGGCTGGGGGGCTGCCGACGAGTCCGATTCTTGCAGACACACAGCCCTGTGGACACTCCTTAGCAGTGTCAAATTATGACAAATGGTGTGGGTGAAAGTTGCTGGGTGGCAGCTGCCGCATCTCAGAGGGAGCAGGTATTTTTAGCACCGCGCCTTGGGGCTCTGGTGCTGGGTTAATTAATCATGGTGAACAGCACCAAGTTTTGTTCTTGACCCTGGTCCCCAGCCCCAATCCCAGCCTTGTCCCCATTCCCCTGACTGGAATACCAGCTGCAGAGGTAGAGGCTGCGCAGCTGGAGCAGCCCTGGATAGCCCTCGTAACAGTGGGGATACCACCCCACCTTCCCCCAGCTAGGTCACGGCATGATCCAGCCCTGCGCACCCCGCTCCTTTCCTCCTCCCTCTGCTTCCCAGCCTGCCAGCCACACCGGCCTCCTCTGGGCTCTTCCAGCCCCTCCCTGCCCCAGGCCTTTCCACTGGCACTTCCTCCCTGAATTTTATCCCCAGGTCTCCTCCTTCTTCCTATCTTTCCCCAAATGCCACCCACCCCCTAACCCCTACAAAGGCCCTCCCTGAGCCCACCCCCACCTGACAGGCTGTCACCTTCCACTGCTTATTCCTTCAGAGATTTAGCATCAGCCCAAATCATCTTATTTGTTGACTGCTTACTTTACTGGTTTCCTTTTGTCAAAATGCTGCCCGCTTGAGAGAGGAGTTTTTTCCATCTTGTTTGTTCTCTTGAATTTCAGTTGCCTGGCTCAGTATAAGTGGATGGATGGATGGTTGGATGGATGGATGGATCAATGGGCAGGTGGAAGCCTGGCTGGATGGATAGATGGATGGAAGCCTGGCTGGATAGCTGGATAGGTGTATAGATGGATGGAGGGATGGATGGATAGATGGATGAATAAATGGACAGGTGGAAGGCTGGCTGTATGGATAGGTGGATAGATGGGTGGAAGGCTGGCTGGATTGCTGGGTAGATGGGTAGATGAATGAAATGGATGGATGGATGGATGGTTGGATGGATGGATGGATGGGAAGATATTTTATGGGCGCATCTGAGAAGACACTCATTATATTGCAGTATCCTTGCCCAGGCCATAGGAGGCACAGGGTCAAGGGATTCTGGCAAAAGAGTGGCTACATAGGGCCAACAGTTGTCCTCTCTCCTTTAGAAATATCCAATCACATGCTCTTTGGGGTTTGGAGAGGTTGCTCTGAGTTCTTGGGTGTTTTTTCATAATTTTTTTCCCTTGGGGATGGGAAGAGATAGGCCAGTTAGTTTTAAGAGACTCCCAGAAGACTGTTTCCCAACAAGCTCACATTAGTAGTTCATTTTGGAGGATTTTGCATGGTTCTTTTACCGAGTCTTTTCTTTAGGAAGAATTTTTTTAAATTACTCTTTGTGGAAGACACAGTTGGTTGCCCATCCTCTCCCTCTCTTGCTTGAGAACAGAGCCCCCAGTTTGGTTCTGGAATTGACAGGCTTGTGTTTCAGGGAGGCCTGACCCAGCCCCAGTCCCAAGAAGGGACCTGTGATTGGTCTCAGCCAACCCTAGGAGCCCTACCCCTCCAGTCAGTGGTATAGTTTGAAGTGGCCCAGGGATGTGGTTCTAACCCATGGGATGTGAGGAGCTTCTAGCTTCTGAGCATCTTCCTCACTTTAAAAAAGGTATGTGGAGCGCCTCTGTGCCATGCCCCTTTTTCCCGGTCCCCAAAAGCTCATTTCGTTTGCAGAGACAGATGAAGGCATATAACAGGGTGGGTTCCTGGGGAAACCATCTGGCTTTCACTGGCAAATCATGAGCAGGGACCCACAGGAATGGTGCTCAGACCCAGTGATGCCCAACCTGGGAGCTATTAGAACATGGCCACCACTGATTCCCATCCCATTCAGGTTTAATCTGATTCTCAAGGGCAGGACTGTCATCTCTGTGGGGCTAAGTTTTCCCTCTTGTTCCCCCATCATCCTGAGACATGAGGAGGCTGTGAACCACTGAAAACAGACCAGGGACAGAGAAACCATCTGACAGTGGGTTCAAGGCCCAGAGCTGTCTTGCCCAGAGATGTTAGAACTCCTTTTTCTTGATACCTTTAAGGGGACAAAGTGATTGGCTTTCCTACTTTCCTAGTATAAATGGAAGGAAATTTTGTGAAGAAGGCATAGTCCTTGATGACGAAATTTCCAGGAGGAGAACATTCAGAATGTGCACATCAAGACATCAAGTTGCCCTGTTGAGGATGCTGCCTGAAGGCTCGGGAGGCCCCCATGAGGTCTCCTGTTGACAGCACTCACTTGCTTCTAGCCTCTGCTGGGCTCTGGTGGAAACACTGTCCCCCCTTCTGGTTCTGAGAAGCAGACTACAAGGCCATTAAAAAGCATGAGGGAAATGGAAAAATTGCTATTCCATGTGACTTTTGCTACTTTTCTTTCACAGCTCTGGTTATGACTTACACCATTCCCTGTGGGAGACAGAAACAAAGAGGCAGAAAATAAGAGAGAGAGAGAGAGAAACAGAAAAGCACTCAGAGAATGACAGAGACTGTCCTTTTGCTGATTCAAAAATATTTATTGAGAACCTATTATGTGCCCAACATGCACACATTCCTTTAATTAAATACACTACAAGACCACACGCTGTTTTTATCAGCTCCTCAATCCCCATCTAGCTCTTAGGTAGTGGAATCAAGAGATTGCTGTTTTTGCTAAGACCAGTAGGTGTCATCATGTCAGCGGGAAAGCCAGGGGTGCCTGGGATTTGGTAGTCACTTGTGAAAAATTCTATTTCATCTGGTTCTCTGAGTGTTGTTATGTGCAGGGCACCAAGCAGGATGCTTGAGGGTACACAGGGTGAGAAACTCATGATCCCTGGACTCATGGAGTTTATTGTGCCATCGGGGACCTGGAAAGACGAAGCCCTAAGTCACAAAAAGAGGGAGAAGATTTTAAGTGCCTCAAGAGAGGTTTAACATCAAAGACCTCAGAACAACCATATCCTGCCTTATCACATCTCGTAGAAGAACTAGGTTCTGAGAGGGAAGGTGATTGACCTAGGGTCACACAGCAATTCCAGTCTCCAGATCTCCTGACTCCTAGAAAAATGCTCTGCCATTCTGTCTCAATAATTGAAGTTGCTTTTTTATCTTGCCATTTAAAATTTTGCCTTAGTGCTTGATACTTTATTATGCTAAAAAACCCCACAAAATTTCCCAGAAAATTCCACCTTAGTTTAGCCATGAACCTCCCTGCAAAATGCCCTCTCCAATGCCTACTGCAAGGTACCCTAGATAGGGCAATCTGCATCTCGGAGGAAAGAGCTGCCCTCATCATGGGCCCTGTGGGGCTACAGTGGGCTTGCACAGGCTCAGGAGAGCGGATGATAGAGTCAGCTTGCACAGGCTCAGGAGAGCTGATTTTATGCATCTCTTCCCAGTGACATCATGTTGGTAGCTTGAAATGGGCCATGGTATTTACACTATGGAAATTGGCAACAACTATTAACATAAATTAGTTTTATTTACTTTTCCCCATAGAACTGCACACTACTGAATTAGTATTTATGCTTTATAAATAAGAAAATTGAGACTCAGGGAAATGATACAATCTGCCAAAGGTACGTAGCTTGTAAGTAGAGCTGGGACTTTGACCCAAGTGGTTTGGTGCTAGAGTGCTTGGCGATGGTAGATTGACTAGGACTTAGAGCCACTTTGACATGGAAGGATCTAGGTTGATCCTAGGTTTCTTAGTCTATTGTGTGCTGCTGTAGCCAAATACCTGAGGCTGGGTAATTTATAATGAACAGAAATGTATTTCCTTACAGTTCTGGAGGCGAGGAAATTCAAAATCAAAACACTGGCATCTTGCAAGGGCCTTCATGCTGTGTCATTCCACAGCAGAAGACACCACATGGTAGAAGGGAAAAGAGGGTGAGAGAGACACACAAGGGGGCTGAACCTATCCACTTTTAAGGAACCTGCTCCCAAGACAACAGCTTTAATCCATTCATCTCTTAAAGGGCAGCCTAATCATCTCTTAAAGGTCCTGCCTCGTAATCCTGTTACAATGGCAATTAAATTGCAACATGAGTTTGAGAGGGGACAAATAGTAGCATCACAGCACCAGGTGTCTTATGTGGGCTCTGGTGTGGGTGTCCTTCTGGGTTGCTATCATTAATCCGATGGCAGCACCCGAACAGATACTGGTTTGGGGGAAGAGATCACCGATTCAGGTTTGGATGGCTTGAATTGGAGGCCCATTGCTGGGGAGACATTTAGACTTGGAGCCCAGGAGAGGGGTCTGGGCAAGAGAGATGTGCAAGATGAAGGTTTGTTCCCGACTCTACCAAATGTAGATTAGCTAGGAGCATTTTCCTTTGTTCTCATTATCAGGTAAAAAGTACAAGATTTACACTTCTATGTGTTTTTTCTCATAGTTGTCAACATTCAGGAATGCTGGGGGACCATACCCTCTTGCTCATACTTGTTTCCTGATTCCAGTGTGTAATGAGAACTCAGTAAGTATTTATTGAATAAATATGACTAGCCCATTTTTACCCTGCACCTACGGAATCGGTCATTGCTGTGGACCATACATCAACATCTAAGTACATTTCTGAAAATTTCTAAGATTATCTAGAATTCTGGCATCATTGTAAGAGTCTGGATTTGGAATAAGAGATAACTTTTTTAGCATTTTAGAGCTCCAAGTGGGATTAGGTACCATCTCTTACGATGTCTTTGTTTTACTAGCGAGGTACTAAAGCCCAGAGGCCAGTCCAAGACCATGCAGACCCCTTGTCAGATAAACAGACAAAGCTCTAGGTAACCAACCCGGGAGGCTACAATATGCAAATGAATGGATTGTGGCTTTCCTTCTGGTTGGCTGGGAGGCCCTGATGTCACAATTCTAGGGTTTCTCTGCTCCGAAAGATCGTGTCTCTAGCCAAAACCATTTATTGACCTGGTTGGCCTCTAGGCTCCCTGTCTTTGTCCAACATAGTAGAGAGACAATGGAACCCCTCTATCAGGCTGGGTCCATTCTCATGACGGTGAATACCCTCCAGGGGAAGAAAATGGTAGAGAGCGGCCTTCAGTCTGGAGACTTTTCCCTGTCCCAGTCATGGTCCACCTGCCTCCCACCACCAGCCGACTTGGAGATCCTGCAGCAGAAGGTGACCGGGGTGCAACGCGAGCTGGAGGACTTTAAGAAAGAGGCATTGAAGTCCATCCATTACCTCGAAGATGCCTTCTGCGAGATGAATGGAGCCCTGGTGCAGCAGGAGGAGCAGGCGGCTCGCGTGAAGCAGCGGCTCCGGGAGGAGGAGGACCGTGGCATCGTACGTAACAAGGTCCTCACCTTCCTGCTGCCGCGCGAGAAACAGCTCCGGGAGCACTGCAAGCGGCTGGAGGATCTGCTGCTGGACAGGGGCCGCGATGCCCCCCGTGCCACCAAGAAGAGCCAGGCTGACTGAGCCTCGGGGGTGGCACTAGCCAAGCACCAAGTAGAAGATTTTTTTTTTTTTTAATGGAAGGACAAACCCCAAGTCCCCACCCACCTGCTTTCCTTTCCTCATTTTCATTGCTTTCCTTCTGCCTAAATAACACCTTGCTGAGAGGCAAAAAGACTTCAATATGTTGTTTTGGTGAAATTCCATTTATCCAGCATGCTCAAGGAGGGAGGCAGGCCAGTACTAAGTCAGTTGCCTGTACCTTCCACTTGAACCGGTTTCCTGTTTGTAATGGTAAGATTGCTCACTGTATACCTTTTTTCTCGCAGTTTATTCTTAAACTGATTGTGTTGAAAAGATTCACCTTTTTCTGAATGATTCAAGGCTCTCATGATTTGAGACTTAACACATGGTCAGCTGATACACATGACGTAACACAGGAAGCCCCCGAGGGGTCGGACTGCTGGTCCATGCACTAACGCTACCCAGATTGCTCTGATTTTAGTATTCTAAACCTCATCTGTGTGGTCTGCCTGCCTTCACTGTTAGACTGTCACATCTCACTTTGCCGCCTCTTTCCACCTCTACTTCCTTTCCATTTAGACTGCAGACTAGCCAACCGGAATGACAGAGCTTATGAGGACTCTGTGGGTGGAACTCACTAAGCTGCAGTAACTGATGCTGGGACACATTCTGAGATGGGACTAGGAAGTAGGGAAACTGATTTCCATGTTCGAACCATGGAGACAGAATTAATATTATTACTAATATGAAAGCTTAGCATTATCAAGAATATAATATAGTCCAGGCACCATGGTTGGCCCTTTGAAGGTAAGTACTGCTGTGGTTTGAATGTCCCTTCCAAAACACATATTGAATTTTTTTTTTTTTTTTTTTTTTTTTTTTTTGAGACAGAGTCTTGTTCGGTTGCCCAGGATGGAGTATACTGGCACAATCTTGGCTCACCGCAGCCTCTGCCTATCAGATTCAAGAGATTCCCCTGCTTCAGCCTCCCAAGTAGCTGGGATTACGGGCGCCCACCACCATACCTGGCTAATTTTTGTATTTTTAGTAGAGACAGGGTTTGCCATGTTGGTCAGGCTGGTCTCGAACTCCTGACCTCAGGTGATCCACCCGCCTCAGCCTCCCAAAGTGCTGGGATTACAGGCATGAACCACTGTGCCCAGCCTCTCATGTTGAAATTTGATTGCAAATTTAACAGCGTTGGGAGGCGGGGCCTTTGTATAGTAATAGATTAGTGCTATTATCACAGGAGCTTGGTTAGTTATCTCAGGAGCAGGCTCTTTATAGAGGGATGAGTTTGGCCCCATCAGATTTCCATTGACATCGACATTTCTTTGGCCATACCTCGGTTACTTGCCCACCCTAAACCAATTATGAGCAAAGAGGAAAGCAATTGCCACAACTCTGCTCCTGAGCCTGGACACTTCAGGTACCCAATATCCGAAGAAGATCAAGGTTCCATTAGTGAGGCTGGTGGTAACCAACCCCAGCTGCCACATCCTCAGACTTGTCTTTTCTATACCATTGCTACCGAGGGCCAAGAAGAAGAATGCTCTGGGAGATGGCATGGCTGAGCTGCATTGTGCAGTGCGGGTGGCTGTCATGTGGCTGCGGGGACCATGGAGTTAGGTCTGGGAACTGGGGAGATGGGCTGGGACTAGGTGCAGCTACACCTTAGTACTGTGGGTACAGACCCACTGCCTTCAGTTGCTTCACCTTCATCTGTCTGATGCTCAGGCTTCACCTTTGGAGTCAGAGGCTTGAGATGACCCAAAGGGTGCCAGGGAGACTTTGCAACACCTTGGTCATTAAAATAGGCAGTCACTCTTAGAGATGCAATCAGTTACCACCATCCAGGGTAACCAACTTGTTCCAGTTTAACTGGGATTGTTCTAGTTTTAAAACTGAAAGTTCCTCATGCGAGGATCTCTCTCAGTCCTGGGCAAGCAGGGATGGTCGGTCACCTGCACTAGGCATAATACACACCATGGGGGTGATTCAGGTGAGGCTGTGGGTGGGGCAAACCACAGGAGCTCAAGGCAGGAAATGAAGATGGTGGAGGCCGTACATGCCAGCTCAGTGCATCCCTGCTGTCATTTTTAGCCAGAGGGGTTGGCCTGTTCATTCTGCAGCTGGAAGAGCTTGTCTTTGTGTCCATTTCTTCTCCCCTCTCTCGGATCTTTGCCTTCCACCACAAGCTAGCAAGAAAATTTGAGAGTGAGACCTTTTCTGAGCTACTTTTGAGATCCTTCTGGGTACCCCTGGGATTCCTCATTAGGTCACAACTCACAGCTGCAACCTTAGTCCTAATTGGAGGAGAGAGGAAGCTCATGGTGGATGAAAGAGCCAAGAAGAGGCCGGGTGTGGTTTATGCCTGTAATCCCAGTGTTTTAGGAGACCAAGGTGGGAGGTTCGCTTGAGGCCAGGAGTTTGAGGCCAGCCTGGGCAACACAGTGAGACCCTATCCCTAAAAAAAAATTAGCTGGGTGTGGTGGTATATGTCTGTAGTTCTAGCTACTTGGAAGGCTGAGGCAGGAGGATCACTTGAGCCCAAGGAGTCTGAGGCTAGAGCGAGCTGTGATCATGCCACTGCACTCCAGTCTGGCCAACAGAGCAAGACCCTGTCTCAAAAAACCAAACCAAAACAAAAAGAAAACAAGAAGAGACAGTTTTGCTTTGCAGCTTTGGAAGCCAGAGCTCCTCATTTTATCTCTTCTGCTCCCAACTGTGAACACTAAAGTTGAGCAGCCCAACTGCTCACTTTCCTGAAATTCTAAGACAAATAGAAGACAAAAATAACAGATGGTTTTCTCTGTGCCAATAGCCATTGTTCTGAAAGGTTTTCTACAAGCTGCAAGGCTCTGCTTGCTCCCCATAAGCACCAACAGCAGTCAGAGAGGGCTTCTGAGATCCTAGACATATGGCTTTATCTTATGAAAACCCCTGGCAGACAAGGGAGTCCTCCCTGGGACCCCAAGTCCTGTGTTTGCTGCAAGCTGGGATTCTGGGGTGAGCAGCAAGGTGGCTGAGATGCAGGAAAGCGAACAAGTGTGTGGCTAGGGGAGGGAACTCACCTAGTTGGCACAACTTTAGCCTTGTCTATTTAATTGACACTCAGTGATGGGAAGAAGAAAGTGCTCAGGGAGGAGCACGGCTAGGCAGCGTGGCTGGGAAGCAAGCGTTTGGATCTGGGAATCGGCTTCATTCCACATGCAGAGCTGTGCCTCTTGATTGGACTCTTCCACCCAGAGCTAAGAGCAGTGAGCCCTGGGCCTGTGTTTTGACACTCACCAGGTGTCACTCTAGAGTGACTTTCCCATGACCAGATTTATTGGGTGTGGCTCATGCAGCAGATGATGTAACTCTTCCAGACTTAGAGGTGAGAAGGCAAAGAGGCACACAAGGGTTTGTCCATCTCCTCTCCTAGTCTCCTTCTTTTGGCTGCTTCAGAAGTGAATGTGGCTCACAATGAATGCCCAGCAAGAAGTAGCTTCTCAGGGAACATTTGTTGAATAGAATAGGAAGTGGTGGTGTCATCTGGGCCTGTTTGTGTGAGTGGCGTTTATCAATATGACCTTTGAGAGCAACTGAGTGGAAATCTCTGGGCAAAGGCAGCATTTTGTGGCAGTGCACTGCGCCAGTGGTCAGAAGGCCCAAGTTCAGATTCTAACTCTGTAGCTTCTTAGGTAAGATGTGATCCTTTATCTGACAAACATTATCTCTGTCACGCCAAGACCTCTGTTTCCCCATTTGCAAATTGGGATTTGTGGGGCTAACTTCCCAGGCTCGTTCAAGAGGTAATTGAGATAAGGCATGTACGACAGTGCTAAAAGGAAATATAAGAGATTGTAATCGTCTATGCTCAGTCATCTAACACAGCCACCCCAACTTCTAGACTTTTTTGATGCAGAACTAAAGAGGGGGAAGCTAAGGGTCTTTCTTCAGAAAGGGCTAAGATTTATTCATGGGAAAAAGAAAATAGACATAACTAGAAGGAAATAAGGCGAAGGAGAAAAATAAGATAGAAAACCCGGCAAGCTCAGATTTTCAGAGAGAAGTCTTTTCAGTGTGTAGTTGGGAATGAATCCTGGTAACGGGGTTGGACAGCAGAGGTATGGGAGAGATGAGGGGAGGCCAATGGATTAGGGGGAAGAAGGCCTTAAGCAGTGATGTTTATAAGAGCTAGAATTCTAAAATCTTAGAAGAAAGCACAGGAGCAGATCTTAGATATGACATAAACTATGACCGGGAACAAGCAACTAGAAAAACACAGGTGAACTGGACTTCATCAAGATGAAAAACTTTTGTTCTGCAAATGGTACCATTAAGAAAGTGAAAATGGCAACCCACCGAATGGAAGAAGATATTTACAAATCATTCGCATGGCAAGAGACTTGCATCCTAAAAAAAGAGAAATACCTTTTACAACTTAATAAAAAGATAACTCCACTGAAAAGCTAGCAAAGGATCTGAATAGACATTTCTCCCAAGAAAATAGACAAATGATCAGCAAGCACACAAAAAGATACTCAGGAACCTTAGATGCTAGGGAAATGTAAGTCAAAACCACAATGCAATACAATTTTACTCCCACTAATATGGCCATTATCAAAAGACTGGACAATAGCAAGTGTTGGTGATGATAGAGAGAAATGGGAACCCATTGTTGATGGGAATGTAAAATGGTGCAGACATCTTGGAAAACAGTTCGGCAGTTTCTCAACATGTTAAACAGAGTTATCGTATGATCCAGCAATTCCGCTCGTAAGTATATACCCAGTACAAATAATAACACATCTCCACATAAAAACTTGTGTGTGAATGATCAGGGCAAAACAACTCAAATGTCCACCAACTGATGAAATGTGGTATATTTATGCAATGGAATGTTATTTGGCAATAAAAAGAACAACGTATTGGCTGGGTGTGGTGGCTCATGCCTGTAATCCCAGCACTTGAAGAGGCTGAGGCAAGTGGATCACCTGAAGCCAGGAGTTTGAGACCAGCCTGAGCAGCACGGCAAAACCCCATCCCTACTAAAAATACAAAAAAATTAGCTGAGAATCAACTGCTTGGGAGGCTGAGGCCCAAAAATCACTTGAACTCTGGAGGTGGAGGCTGCAGTGAGCTGACATGGCACCACTGCACTCCAGCCTGGGTAACAGAGTAAGACTCTGTCTCAAAACAACAATAGCAATAAATAAAACTGTTTAAAGTGTAAGTTCAAATATACAGTGAGAAAAAGAAATGATGCTATGATTTATCATTCAAGTCCCATTTAATTTTGAGAGATACAAATATTGGGATTATTTTAAATTATTTTTAGTTTTTAG